TTTATAACTGTAGTGGAAAAGCCAACCACTCATTAAATGCTGTAAAACAAACAAACAGAATTATTATTGATCAATTTTTTCCCATAATAATAATAATAATAAGGTTTGTAGTAATGATAATAATAGTATTGTTTATCTCAATTATTAGTATTTATTTTTCAGATAAATATTATTAACTTTTAAATAAATTATTTATTAAAATTACCTCCCATAACATTAATGAACTGAATGCAACTTGAAATGCATTATAAACTACCAATATTCTTTTAAGTTGAAAAGGTTTTCTATTCGCCATTAATCTGGGTCCCAAAAATGTTACAACGTATAAATAAGTGACGACCATTAAAAGGGTTGGAATTGGACTGTCCATCAATGGCCAATCGTTTACCCTCGGATCTAAACATATATATAAAATATCATCATTATTATTATTTATTTAATTAATTAATTAATTAATTATTATTTATTATTCGTTTTGCTTACCACTAATTGAATCTAATATATTTTCGTATCTATCTATTGCCATTTTTACCAATCCTGCCATCGCCATTTTTTTTTTTTTTTTTTTATTTGTTCTTTTAACTGATGACTAGTTTAAAACTTTATTTTTCTGTAATTAATAACTTTGCCCAACCTGCAAAACGAAAAATCAAAGTTTAATTAATTTTTTTTTTTTATGTTTATTGTATAAAAAAAAAATGGCAAAAAGTTATGACAAACATTTTTTTTTTTTTATGGCTATTACGTTAATAGTGACCGTTAAAAAAAAAAAAAAAAAAAAAACTAATAGTCGATTGTCAATAATTAAAAAAAAAAAAAAAAAAAAAAATGACCCTGAATAGTAACAAGGTTCATGCATAATTTTTCTTTTTTTTTCCAATATTATTATTATTATTATTATAAGTACAATTTAGTTATGAGACCTTTCAAATAATAATAATAAAAAGTATTAGGTATTAAAGACAATGATAAAATAAAACATTTTTATTATTATTATTGATTATTGTGAAATAATTGTCAGGTACGTTTGGAAAGGTAATTAAACGTTATTTTTGTCAAAAAAAAAAAAAAAAAAGAAAAAATTTTTTACTGGAAACCATCTTTTCTCTATTTGCCTACTTTCGAAAATAGAAATAAAATGGCGAAGGTTTTTCATTTCCTACAGGCATTTTTTCATATAAAACGTTTTTCTTTTTCTTTTTTTTTTTTAATTACTTGCAGTTATTAAAAACGTATAAATTATTTATTATTATTATTAATATTATTATTATTATTATTATTATTATTTTCAATTAAAAATATATATTTAAAAAAATCCTTTTGACATTTTGACTGTATAAAAAAAATAAATAAAAAAAGTTTTAATAATAATAATAATAAAAAAAGAGAACTTTGAAACCAATTTTTTTTTTAAATGAGTAGAAATAAAAATAAAATGACGTCATAAAATTTAATATTTAAATTCGAATTAAATCGTATAAAATAGTAATAATAATAATAATAAAATTTAACCGTTTGAATATATTGTAATCAAATTAGGGGAGAAAACGTTTGTTTATTTTGTTATTTTACATAAATTTGTTAAATTAATTTAAATTTTAAATAATTATTTTAAAATATATAAATTTCGGTTAAAAAAAAAAAAAACTTGAATTCTAACGACAAAAAAAAAAAAAATTTTTAAAACGGTCAATTTGTAATATTAATAATAACTTTTTTATTTGGAAATTTATTAAAACTCGAAACCTCGAGGATAAATTATTACATAAAACATAACAATTATTAATATAAATGAAAAAAATTTATATGATAATAATAATAATAATAATAATAATAAAGGAAAAAGGTTATATTACCTTCTTTTTCTACCTTCGATAATAAATTTATTTACAAAAACCGGAAGCATTACATACGGAACGACAAAAAAGGGGATAATAATTAACCACCCTTGACAATATTTTTCCGCACAAATTAAATATTAACGTTTTTATAATAATAATAATAATAATAAAAAACTCCCGTCCAGACACTAACACTAACGCAAAGGACGATAACGAAAAAAAAAAAAAAAAATTATACCGAAAAATCGAGAAAGTCCGCCATCATCACCACCACCACCACTACCAGTCCAATGGACAAATCCGTATGTTGGCCATAGGGATAAATAAAACCACCGAAGAAGAAGGAAGGAAGAAGGAGGTTCGAATTTGATTCTAACCATAAGTTAAATATAAGCGTTAGTAAAAAAAAAAAAAAAAAAAAAGTTGCGACATTGTTTTGTGTCGGTTTGGTCGGGTACTTTGGATAAAAATCTAACGTCTAAGTAATTTTCAATCGAAACTTCTTTTTCTTAATAATCCTTTTGCAACCTTGTTACATCCATTAAAGTCGAATATAGAAATTAAAATGTCTAAACGTACTTTTTTTTATGCACGAAAGACGTACTAATAATCATTTTTTTAAAAAGGAAATCGTGGTGGGAGGGGGTAGGTAGGGGGTAGGCAGGAGGAGGAGGAAGGTACACAATAATTGTAACTATAAAAAATAATTTGTAGAGTTTTTGGTATAGTAAGAGATGAAGAAAAGAAGGAGGAGAATCGAATCGGGAGATAAAAGTAGGTAGATGGATGATGGTGGATATGGGGAGGGGGAGGAGGCACATGAAAAAAAAAAAAATTTTTTTTTATGGTTAAAATTCCATAAAATTCATAAAAAAAATTTGTAATCGAGTTATAAATTTTTATATCCGTACGTTTTTTTTTTAAAAAAAATCTTACGTAATATTCGTTCGTCATTTTTTTAAACCCCCCCCTCCCCCCATCATCATCATCATCATCATCATCTATGTATAGTAAATTAAAAATATTATAAATTATTATTATTATTACGATTTGGGGGGAAAAAAAGTGGGAAATTACACACACAATTCATTCGTTTCGATTTGTTGTTTGTTGTAATTCATTGATTATTATTATTATTATTATTATTTAAAAGTTGAAATAAGAAGAAAACCGTTCATCATCATCATCATCATCTCATTTTGTAACAACAAAAATTTATGAAATAAACAATTTTTTTTTTTTTCGGGGGGGGGAGGGAGGGAGGGAGGAGGGATTTCTGCACGTGTGCCTCAGTTTTATATATTAATAATTTTTAAAAAAAATAAATATGACGAAAATTTTACGAAATAAAAATTTTTTAAAAAAAATTTTAAAAAAAAAAAAACTTTAATTAAGATAAATAAGAAAAAAAAATCACGTATGGAATTAATAATAATAATAATAATAATAATAATTTTTTTTTACACGTTTTGCAAAATCAATTCCTGTACGTAAATTTCCCTCCCTTCTCCCTTATCTCCCCCTCTTTGTTTTTTTTTTTTACATTCTTGGAAGGATAAAAAAAAAAAATTCACATTGAACTTTGTAATTTATACATAAAAAAAAAAAACAACAACCACGCACACACACGCACACACACACACACACACACACGATCATATAATTATATTTTACCTCGTTAACGACAAATTTTCTTTTAAAATAATAATAATAATAATATTAAAAAATAAATAAATAAATGACAATTTAAATAAATAAATAGATGACAATTTTTGATTTATAACCCATCGATGATAATAATACTAATACTACTACTACTACTACTACTACTACTACTAATAAAAATAATAATAATAATAATACATCGTAAAACGCACAAAAGATACATATATATCCGTTTTTTTTTTTTTTTTTTATAATAAATTATTTACGTAAGTAAATTTTTTTTTTTTTACTTCGGAAAACCCCAGGGACATCGGGAAATTTTTTTTTTTTTTTTTTATCCTTATGAGTGTGTCATACAGTTACTTCCAGAAAAAAAAAAAAAAACAAGGAATTTAAATTAAATTATAATTAATTATAATTTAATTAATTTATAATAACGACCTTAAACGATTGCAAAAAAAACGTTTCATTTTATTGACTTTTTTTTCCATATTATCAGTAAGTGTAAGATTTGAATAAAAATCGTCATCAATAATAATAATAATAATAATAATAATAATAATAATAAATAATAATAATAATAATAATGATGATGATGATAATAATAATAATAATAATATATGCGCGTGTGCCTTTTCCCAATAGGAAATTTTCTGTTTCGAACCAAAATCATTTTAATATACTTTTTACAACTTCATATTATTATTATTATTATTTTGTTTTAAACTTATATTATGACGTCAATAATTTTATTCCTTTTTCTATGTAAATAATTAAAAATAATAATAATGATCGTATTTAATAACGAGGGGGTTCCCGTAAACGATTGGAAAAGAAAGAAGATATTATTATTATTATTATTATTATCGATGCAGTTAATTTAAATTAAAAATCGTTTATTATTTCAACTCGTATTATTATTATTATTATTATTATTATTATTATTATTATTATTAAGAAATGATTTTTTATTTAGGTGGTCTCTCGTGTATTTCGTAATAATTATTAATTATTAAATTGCTTAATTTTTGTTTTTTTTTTTTTTGGGGGGGGCGAGAGGGAGAAGGGGGAAGACGAAACGGGGGTTTATTAGTAAACCGTAAAAATTGTTTTTGTTCAGAAAAAAAAAAAAAAAATTTAATCTGATATACATTAAATCTTTTTTTTTTTTTTTTTTTGTAACGAACGAACTTGTTTTTCTGAACAGAGTAAATAAATAAAAACATTTTTAATGATGTTTTTGTTTGTTTGTCTATTTACACGTCGTTTATTTTATTTTTTTTCGTTACGTGAGTTTTAATTTATTATTATAAAAAAAAAAAAGAAAAAAGAATTTTTAATCGTGTAAATATTAAACTATATTTAAATTATTTCTTCTTCTTCTTTTGATAAATTGATAATAATAATAATAATAATAAAAACAAATACATAACGAAGTAATAAATAATTATTACGTAGTTATAAAAAAAAACGTATCGGTTTGAATTTAAAAAAAAAAAAACTCTAATTAATTATTATTATTATTTATAAAAAAAAGGCGCGCTTTGTGTTTAATTTAAATTTTGTTCATTTGGACGTCATAACGATAAAAAGAAGATATTGAAGAAACAATGCAAAAAAAAATTTAAAAAATTAAAAACCTGAATTTAGAAGGTTACAAAATATTATTATTATTATTATTACATAGGTTGATCCATTGACCGCAAACCGAAGGCTTTTTACCCCCAAGATAAAAAAATTTTTCAATCGATTTGCTAAAAATTTTTAAATAAAAAAAAAAAAAACCATCGAATTTAATTTTTTTTTTTTTTTTGTAATAAAATATTGACAAAGTATAAAACCGGAAATGGATTGATTTAACGTTATTATTATTATTATTATTATTTCGTAACGATTTTTAAATTTTAAAATTTATTTTCGAAAACGATTTGATACTATTTTTTTTTATTGTGATTTTTTTCTTTAAAAAAAAATTCTATTTCAAAAGTTTCTAGAAAAAAACAAGTTTTCGTTAAGATATTGCGCGTTATAATTTTTT